CCCATGGGTTCCTAGGGCGCTTGTATGTACCCTGGAAGTTCCCCACGAAGATCTCCTTCAGGTGCACCCAACTCTGGATTCTGTTGGATGACAGGTGTTCCAACCATGTTCGTGCTGAATTGGCCAAGAACAATGGAAGGTTGCGGATAATGAAATCATCATTATCAGCACCACCAGCTTGGCAGGCAAGCCAATAATCCATGAGCCATAGTCCGGAGTTTGTCTCCCTAGAGTACTTCGGGATGTTGGTTGGTGGTCGGTACCTTGGCGGGAAGGCGGCGTTGAGGATGTGTTGGACGAAGGCCTGAGGCCCCGGTAGGTCGGGGCTCAGGCTTCGGTCCTCGCCGCCGTCGTAACATCCACCACGATGAGGGTGGTAGCCGCGGCTAGCTCCCTCTCTTGAGTCGTCATAAGTATGCCTGCAGGCGCCGAGGGTGTTACGTGCGTCACGGTTGTGGCCGAGACGCTGATGCACCGGTACTGCGGTGCGCTGCCTACCTCCTTGTGGCTCCTAGTGGACCGACACGTCCCTGTCGGGAGGCTCCGAGGCCGTGCACTGGCTATTGTTGAGCTCGCATCGCCGAGAGAATGAGCTCTCTGCCTGCTGCACCGGCACATGCTCGAGCAACTTGTGAATCTCGTGGTGGGCCTGATGATCCTCGGGCATCGTGGCCACTGTAAGACCATGGAGCAAGGCTGCCGTAGCGGCAATGTTCTATCTTACTCGGGCGAAGCGAGGGAGGGCTTCATCGTTCGTGATGATCCTCCGGTTCACGTCGTGGGCCATGGCACAGCGCGCCCACCGTCTCCACGGCGCTCGATCTCCTGATCGAGCTCCGCACATTCCTGCTCGAGCTAGAGTCGCACTTCCTCGATCTCTTAGTGTTGGGCTTTCAGCTGCTCCACCTGCATGCGAGGTGGGGCCGATGTCTACCCCTAGGCCTCGTCATCGAGGTCGGTTGCCGGGGTAGCCTCCTCCCCGTGGATGCTTTCGACGTGTCCCTCAGGGGTACCTGTCATGAAGCATTCACAAGAGGGGTGGTGGCTTCCCCTGCTGGAGTCAGATCTAGAGGGTGACTCCGATGCCTCTATGAGGAGGTCGTGTAAAGACTCCATGATGTGTTCGATCACCCCCATGAACTCGTTGTTCGTGGAGGACGTGATCATGCGCTGTGCCACGAGGTGGCCAACGGTCTCTACGGCGTTGCAGAGAACGAACGGGAGCACTATCAGGGCACTCCGGATGAGGTATTACAGGGAGAACGGTTCTCTCCTGATAAGCCGCAGCTCCTCGAGCATCTCAGTGATTGAGTCAAGGCCAGTGGAGTGGAAGGGTTGGATGACGACGGGCAGCCACACCAGCTCTTCCTCTGCCGTGACGATGAAGTCCAGGTCCCCGAAGTGTACGTGTGCACCCGGGATCCAGCTGATGCCATGACTAGCCATCCGTGGCCTGTTGTTAATGTCAGGATGCACAAAGTCCCCTACCTGGCATGCCAACTGTCGGTGTTTTGAGTAAACACCAATGAGTAAATTTGTGTTATTGCGCGTCTAGCCCGGATGATGTGCTAAAAAGACACAAGGTTTATACTGGTTCGGGTAGAATGTTCCTACGTCCAGTTTGTAGCTGCTGCTTGTGTTATTAGCACTGAAAAGTTCGTAGTAGGGGTTACAAATAGGCGAGAGAGGGACAGGTCCCAAGTCTGATGGAAAGGTCGAAGGGGTGCTGAGAGCTTGATTGCTGCTCAGCTATATCTTTGTGGTTCGACGCTAGTGGTTTTGCTATGTTATGGTGAAATCAATCCCCTTAGTGGGGTGCTACGCTCTCCCTTTTATAGGCCAAGGGAGAGTATGGATTACAGATGGGAGAAAAGAGGAAAACAAGAGGTAAAGGAAGTCCTTCAAGGACGCCGGGTCTTCCTTTTCCTCTGTGTAGGCCCCCCCGACATGGCAGGCGGTGATAGGGATAGCTCCACACTGGGCGCATGTCTGCTGACCCTGACAAGGTCACGCTGAGTTTCTGCCCACTGATGATGCCATGTCCTGGTATTGTCAGCGGGTTGTCATGTCCCATCCTGCCCCGACGGGCAGCGCGGCGGACCAGCATGCGGATCAATGGCCATACGGGGAGCAGGCAGCACTGTGACCATAGGTCCATTACTGTGGGTGATGCGAGCTTCCTTCTAGACTGTAGTGGTTGTCATGAGCTCCCACAAGGATCCATGCTCGAGGGCAAATGACGGCGCCCACAACACTATAATGGCAAATGTCGGCGCCTACAACACCGTTTGGGCTCTGCCATGCCTGGATGGTTGCAAAGCACCCTTCTGGCATGGCCTGATAGTACTATCCTGCATGTGTGCAGGGTACGATCCTCAATACTGCGGTTGACTTGAGAGTCTTGCCTTATCTGCTTCGCCTGATTCCTAGGTCGGTGTTGTGGGCGAGGCGGAGCCAGCCCTCGGACATCGGGCGAGGTAGAGCCCAGCAAGCGGCATAGTCGCGCTCTTGATCATGCGGATGAATCAATGTTTCAGGATCATTAGCTCCTCCTCTTTGGGTACCCTAGTGTTGGTCCCCGACACAAGGATTACTTGCCTGGTGATGATGAGGGTAGTGAAGAGGATGAAGAGCCAGTCCAAATTAGAGCTGATCTGAAGGAGTTAAGGAAGAAATTGAAAGCTATAGGCATGGTGGTGGTTGATGAGGAAGGGCATGAAGTCAATGTGGAGAACTTGATGGCATCGAATCCATGTGCTACTAGTCTCAATGATGACTGTGATTCTAGTGCTATGGACACTGATGAAGAGGATGATTCATATGATGAATCACCTAAGGGGGAGTTGTTGAGGAAGGAGAGGAAATTCCCCAAGTTTGATGCAAATGCTCTAGTACCAAGTTTTAGTGTCTGCATGACATTTAATGACAAATCAACATTCAGGGATGCTGTCATCAAGTATGGGCTTACAGAAAGGAAGGTGATTAAGTTTGTGAAGAATGAGGGCAGTAAGTGCAGAGCAGTCTGTTCATGGCCAAAGTGTCCTTGGGTTTTGCATCTATCGAAGACATCAAGGGCAGAGAGTTGGCATATAGCCACATGCAAAGATGCACACACATGCCCACTAAGGAGGGACAACTCTCTAGTGACATCAAGGAGAATAGCAGACAAGTATGAGAAGTTCATTAAGGCTAACCCACAATGGTCTATTGAGAGTATGAGAGAAACAATTCAGGAAGAAATGTTTGCAGATGTTAGTATTTCAAAGATTAAGAGAGCCAAGTTAATCGTGATGCAGAGGATGTATGATGCAACTAAGGGGGAGTATGCTATGGTGTTTGACTACCCGCTGGAATTGCTCAGAAGCAATCATGGGAGTACTATTGTAGTAAAGCTAGACACTGAAGAGCCACATCCAACGTTCATGAGGTTTTATGTCTGCTTTGATGCTTGCAAGAAGGGTTTCCTTGCTGGAGGTGTGCAAAGTCCTCATCAATGAATCTGTTCAACTACAACTTGAACAAGTCAGGGCAGATACACCACAAGGGGCTAATGCAATTATGAGAACTGATCCTAAGCATTGGAGTAGAGCATGGTTCAAAATTGGTTCATTCTGTGATTCTGTGGACAATAACATGTGTGAGTGCTTCAACTACTAGATTTTGAAAGTAAGGTTCCTTCCAATCATAAGTATGCTAGAAGGTAGAACAGGAGCAAGACAGAAAGGTGGACAAGTCCAATCTGTCCAAACACATTCAAGAAGCTGATGACATACATCACAGCTAGTGGCTTCTACCATGCTATTAGCAATGGCAACAATTGCTATGAAGTAACCTACTGGGACCACAGATTCACTGTGAACTTGGAAGAGAGAACTTGCTCATGTAGGTTCTTACAGTTGTCAGGTTTGCCCTGCCCTCATGCTATTTCTTGCATCTACTTTGCATCTAGGCCTTTAGAAGATTTCATAGCCATGCTATTTTATGGAGGACTACAACAAGACATACACACTGCCTGCAACCTGTGGAAGCAGGGCCTTTTGGCTAGTATCAGACAGAGAAAAGCCACTGCCACCAAAGTATGTAAGGATGCCTGGAACACCAAAGAAGGAGAGGAAAAGGCAGGATGGGGAGAAAAAGAAGCCACCTCAGGGTAAGCTATCAAAAAAGGGACAGTTATAAGGTGTAGAGTGCGTAAAGGAATTGGACACAACAGGACTACTTGTAGCAGGAGGACAGGTTCTGGTAATGCAAGTGGTGGTGCTTCTCATTCTACTAGAGCAAGTGGTGGTGCATCACAATCAGACAGAGAAAGTGTTGGTGCATCACAGCCAGCTAGAGGAAGTCGTGGTGCTTCTCAGTCACCTCACCTAGAGGAAGTGGTTGTGCATCACAGTCAAAGAGTCAGTGTGCAAGTTGAACTACGGTACTGAACCTGAACTGAATGGCATCCTGTTATGATATGTGTTTGTGTTTATTATGTGTTAATCACCAACTGAATGACATCTGTTGTATTGAACTCTAGTCATCTCTTTGTGCAGACGCCATCAAAAAATTGACAAAGCTCACTGGTTACACATATAAAAGAATTCATGCAACCGAAACATTTCACTAAAACATTAGGATATGAGCATTAACCTGATACTCAAACATGGTCCTGAGCATTATGCTCATGCATTAAGCTAATACACAACCCATAATAGTATCAACAGGTTTCCAGTACCAATATGGATCCTACTAACTACAACTACAACTACACCAAGGCTAACACCACATTGACTTACATGATCCAAGGCATCCAGGAAGCAGCCACTAATCCTACACACACAAATAGAGCACCAAACAAGAACTTCCTCTCCTTCTCCAATGTCCCTATCCTCACCTCTAACTCAACTCTAGATTCAGCTCCCAACTACAATTCAGCTTGCATAATGGCCACATCTCTTTTGGCTGTAACAAACATGGCCTCTCTGTCTTCATTGTACCTGACAGCGCCTTCCAGCTCAAGCTGCAGTCTTTGATTCTCCCTTGTTGCGCCTTCCAGCTGAAGCTCTTTGATTCTCCCTTGTTGCACTTTCCAAGAGTCTTGCAGTCTCCATTCTTGCATCTTCCAAACTCTGTTCAGCTACTCCAGTTGCTCGCTTCCAGTACTTCATTGCATCTCGCAAATCAAGCAGAAGTTGCTTCATGAAACTATTGTTTGGCGGATCCACCCATCTATAAAAGTCGCAACCACCATCCTATGAAACAAACCAATAATCAGTAAATCAGAGACACACTCAATCACTGATGCATCTACAGACTATGAATCACGAAGAGAACAACTTACACGAGCCCGTGCACACTTCAGATACCGCAATCCTGGGTTCAAATCACTCCAAGATATGAAACTAGCAGCTTTTGCACCGCATTTGCATAGCACTGCTGGGGTATACTCCAGTGGTCCTTTACGATAGGGGATGGGTGAGGACGAATCGCCATGGGAATCGCCATGGCGACGCCATCGCGATTCTTGGGTCCCCAAACTTCGGCTAGATCCGTTTGAGGTCGCCATTTCCGCACGCGATGGAGGCGGTGGAGGACTCCTAGGCGAGGGGCGACTACGGATGCGGAGGCGCCGGAGGAGAGGATGCGGTCGCGGCGCCAGCGGCGGAGGAGGCGACTGCGGCGGCTAGGGTTCGGGAGAGAGGAACTGAGAGGGAGAGAGAGAGAGCTGAGCGGGCCGGCTCCTGTTTTGACCCACGCGGCCGTCCTACGTGGCGGTCAATGCTAGCGTGACAGGTCAAAACCAGGCACACGTCAACGCAAACAGCCTCAATCGCGCCGTGGTGTTAGCTGGACCAGACGATTTTATAGTTGTGGGTCAAAATTAGACCAACATGATAGTTGAGGGTCCAAAAGTGGACTTAATGCTATGCCAAAACAACAGTTAAATTACGTAATGAGAGCACCAAGACTGCCACATGATCTGGGAGAAGTGCTAAACTTGTCCAGGCATAAGTTCAGTTTAAAACTTTGCGAGTCATGCTCTGCAATTTGTGGACACGAACAGCTACGCCCTCTATCCACCGCCCACTGCGACTGTTGGGCGTAATGCGTAAATGCCGTTCGGGTCTCGTCCGGTACCCAGATGCCTGGGCGACAGTAAACTCAAAACGTGAAGCTTGTCGGGTTTTGTCGAATTCTCCGTCTTGTGAGTTGTGACGTGCACTCGTGGTTTCACCTCGGATACTCGCTACTTTGCCATGGAAAATGGGCCTCTTTGGGGCTAGTTTTGTCGGCCATGCATTTATGGTTCTGCGCCGAGGAAATGAGCTTGCCAGTTACCACCCCTGAAGGTAGGAACCCGAATTCACGATCCATTTAGCGTTTGATATAGAAAATATAGGAAATACAGAAAATTTCTCGTCTTCCAAGCCGGGCCTCAGATCGATGGATGCCCTAAAAGTTGCGTCAGGTCAGGTGTCTATGCTATCTGCGCGAGAGCATCTTTGGCAGTTGCTTTCATCTGTTCCAATCCGTTGCTACAGTTATGTTTGTTGTATCCCAGGCTCCTAGCTTTTATCAAGATACAGCTGGCTAGAAATGTTATGTTTGTTGAGTGGACCAGGACCTACAAAGTACGTTCAGCGGTATCCCAGGTTCGATTGCTCTGTTTAGCTGAAAGTTCGTCCGTATCTTGCATCATCGCCCTTGGGGCCTTGACGAGATATTTTCTCCCTGTTGATATTTTATACGCGTATCAAATGGTGCCTTCCGAGTACGGTGATGTGGTGGACCTGGTAGTGGTAATTGTGAGGTGGACATGATATCTGCATTGAATATGCCGTCACTTGTGCCGTTCAACCGATTAATGTTGATTTTCTTGCAAAGGCATAAATTAATCTTGGGCTATATTCCGATGACACGAGTTTATGCACATCCACCTATAAATGACACCTCCATCCAATACTTTCTTCTCACCACATCCACCTATATATATAGGCCAAGCCCATATGTTTCTTGTCCTCCTTTGGTGAGGTTGTGAGATGATGAAGTCAGGCCATTCATGACTCTAATTCTAAGTAGCTAGTTGCTATCGTGATTACCTGAGCAAGTTGAGACAGGTTTGATTGTTCTTTGCAGTTCTAATCCGTGTGTTGGACAACAACACAACCTAGGGCTGTTCGTTGGGAGGAATTTAGAGAAATCTGATGAATATGTGAGAGCGTGAACATTGTTTTCAGCCATAAACAGTGTAAAACCAGCTGATTTTGGAGCCAGCCGAACGAGCCCCTGCTCCCTAAGACCAATGGGTTGAAACGGAAACCAACTAACCTGCCCGTTTGCTATTGTTTCTCGAAATTATAAATAGTACTAGGCGGATTATACAAATTTACATTGCTGGAGGCATGGACGTTTGCTATCCATCTATCAATCCCAAAAGGACCAAACACATAGGGCCATCTCCGTCCTAAAACACGGAGAAAATGTAGAGCTAGTCCCGCCGGCTTTTATGCTGGGGTGTGTGCAATTAGCTGTCAGCCCCACGGGCCACGGATGCGAATTGCGATCACGCGAACCTGCTCCGATTAAATTGGGCCTTGCTTAGGTGGCGATTTTTTTTTTCAGAAATGGTATCGTAGCACTTTCATTATTATTTAGCAATTAGTGTCTAATCATAGTCTAATTAGGTTTAAAAGATTCGTCTCGTGAATTTCGTCTAAACTATGTAATTAGTTTTATTTTTTATTTATATTTAATGCTTCATGCATACATCAAAGATTCGATGTGATAAGAAATCTTAAAAAAATTTACAAAATTTTATGAACTAAACAGTCACTTGGTGTATAGGTACAATTTTATGAACTAAACAGTCACTTGGTGTATAGTACCTACTACGGGCGACCCATGCCCCGGTGTGCAGTGTTCCACAACAATTAATTATGCAGGCGTATGCAGCGTAGGCGTTGAGCACGTTCAACAAGATTCTGGGAATATGATTTTTTTAATCCTTTTTAAATAAATATTTTAATAATAACCGCTCATAAAAAGAAATTGCACAAGGTAGCCTCTTTGATCGCGCTAGCGCGGCTGGCGTGACTACACCATTTTGTCACGCCACATGCGCTGGCGCGACAAGGGGCGCCACTATGACATGCATCGTTGACCGGAGCTGGCGTGGTGGTCCGTGGGGCCCGCCCTGTGGTGCCAATGACTCAAGCGCGACAACTATCGCGCCAGCGACTCAGGCGCGACAGGGTCATATAGGATTTGGTTGGCCCAGCCCACTTTCCTTTCTCTCTCTTTCTCTCCCTCTCCTTTACTCGACCGCGCGCCTGGGCGCCGCCGCCGCCACCCCACGTCCCTGGCTGCACCAGCCATCTCCACCCACACGCTGGCGAGTTGAGCGGCTACTCCTGCTACCCTCTCTCTCCCTCTCCCTTGTGCGGCTGGGGAGCGGCGCCAGGGGGAGCAGGCTGGCTCCTCGCGTCATCGACGCCTTGCCACGGCGGCGCCGTCGGCAAGGCTTCTCCCAGCATCGTCCGCGACCTCCCTGCTCCGTGGACTCAAGTACACCGCCAGGTTGATCTTCCCCCCTCTTTTTCTTGATTTCTTGCCTCAAGAGTTGCATGACTAGGGTTAAAAAATTAGGGATGGTGTCAATGTTTTTATCGTTGCTTGTTAGTATTTGATGCACACATTAGGTTTAGGACATACTCTGCCCGTGGATTGGACGTAATCTACGTGTTGCATGGACTTTGGTAGTTGATGTATGGTGGATTTAGATCGGAATGTTTGTTGCCTTTGTTGACATCATTGTGAAGTTTGTGTTATTGTGCTGATTACTGAATGGATATGATTTATTTCCGAAATGCGTAGTTCATGTGTTGTTGATGTGTTGGTTCGTATTTTGTAGATGTATTAATTAGTGTGATTGTTTCATGGTGGCAAAGTGAAAGGAAACGAGGAGTTCGAAAGCATGCACGAACATGTTGAGTTCTTTAGTGGATCTCCTACCTTTGATGCTTTGGTTAGCAAGTGTCGGGATAAATTTTGGTGGCCACTAAGTTTGAGAGACAGATTTGACTGTGGGAAGGAATAGGCACATTATGTGTTGATGCCTTTGTCATGTGAGGATGAATGGAATAATTACATAGAGGTTGTCAAGAGTAGCAGTGTTAGATGCTTAGAAGTTGTTGTGGAGAAGGGGTCTAGCCAAATTATGGTGGCTGTGGATGATAGTGTGGATGTGGAGCCCGTAGAGAACCTTACCCAAGACAAATAGTTGCAGGCGGTTGTTGTTAGAGAAGTTGATAGGTCATGTGAGCCCGGTGCCTTGAATGATGATTTCAATGAAGAAACGTTTGATGAGGACGATGGCAACGGAGATGGAACACATGATATGGACGATGTAAGAAAAATAGAACCTAGGCCCATTTACTTTGGATTTTGGTGTTTGATGACAAACACAACCAAATCAGACTAATGAATTTACAAGTAGTTGTTTTGTAGTTCAATAGGGTGTAAGACGTGATTTGGACGAAGGCGACATGATGACCCAACGATCAACACCATAAGCAAGACCCTAGAAGCACAAGAGAAGACCCAAGATATCAAGCATAGTCCAAGCACGAAGATGGGAACCAAGCCGGACATAAGATCGTGAAGAAACGAGCTCGGCAGAGGTGACCGGACGCGGCCCTTATGGGGACCGGACGCGTCCGATCAGTTGCTCGGCAACAGCAGGCGTCAGCAGCTATGACCAGACGCCGAGTGAAGCAGTGACCGGACGCACCAATGACACTGTTCTTCGTCACGGCAATATTTTCAGCGCGATCAGGACGACAGCAGCGTCCGGTCAGTAGCATAAAGCTGGGTTTTGCCCCCAACGGCTACTTTCTCGGTGTGGCTTATAAATAGACCCCCAACCGGCCATTTGAGAAGTGGAGAGCTGAGAAAACATACCAAGGGTGTTGATACACCATTTTAATGATCTCCACTTGCATAGTGCTTAGTGATTTATTAAGTGATTAGCGTAGGTGCTTTGCGAAGTGCTTAGGTTGATTAGACCATCGATTCTGCGCTTGCTTTAGGTTTAGGTCTAGTGTTTAGTGAGGTTTGCATACCTCTTACCACTCGGTGCTTGCGCGCACCATTGTTGTACATTGGATGGGCTTGTAGTCTTGCGAGATCACACCAACCGTGTTTGTGGTGTGGCCGCCACCGTGTACCGAAGGGAACAAGGCCCGCGGCGGTTCGGCCGGAAGCTTGATAGTGAAGACGGCAGGGAGCGGTCTAGGAGAGGCTTACCAGAAGGCACTCCGGAGACCCACTTGCGCATGGAGAAGGCCCGGGGCTATCCATGGAGTTACTCGATCGGGAGCTTGGCCCTTGCGAGAGATTCCTTGCGAGGGGCTCCAACGAGGACTAGGGGGAAGCTTGCTTGCTTCTTGATACCTCGGTAAAAACACCAGAGTCATCGATGAGAGTTTGTATATCTCTACCTTACTCTTTAGCTTCCGCATTTATATTGCAATCTTGGTTTGTGATTTACTTTCCTAGCTTAGTGAT